GGTTCCTTAGTACAAATACCGTATAAAGGGCCCCAAAACCCTATTCGGGTTCCTTAGTACAAATATAGTATAATGGGCCCCAAAACCCTATTCTAATGATTAAGGCCCCTACATTACCTTCTTCTTTGGATGTTGGGATTCTGTTTCGGTACTGACTCATATTCGTTGCTGCAGCTATTCTCGAGGGTCCCAAGTACCCAGTGTTTGAGCGATAATCGCACAAACCATCACAAATACTCTGGGGCTTAGGGTCCAGCGTTACCAGTAACGGTAACTTCTCGTACAGAAACAATGCTGTGTATGACGTTGGTCCTCAGGACCTTGTTTGGAGTATGAAAGCGGTTCACGGCGCAGCTGTGGATGAGGTTGGATGTTGGATTTAGGTCACCTAGGATTGTAAGCAGGCATTTCGGTGAGACTCACATATGAAAGTTTCACTGCGAGGAAGAACCTCTTTTTATCAGGACTGCTCAGACGAGCATCCCAAACCAGCTCCTGCCTGAAGGATCTCAGGGAACTTAGTCAGTATGTTTAGAAATACTGCAGTTGGGGTTATAATCAGTTCTATAACGATAGTTGGCCCTACATGCCATGGCGAATGATGCTTGGAGTAGACACCCAAGCCCCTGGAAACATCTACTCAAAACCCCAAAGAACCCCCAAAAAGCACCAAAGCCCCTTAGAGGAGTAGTCTCGCATGAGCTCCTGTTCCTCCTCCCGTCAGCTTTCAGGTGGAGGAGCAGCTGTTTGAGGTCGGGAGAAGCTGCCAGGGTTTAGGGTTTAGGGTTTAGGGTTTAGGGTTTCAGACTGTAGGATATTGGGGTTTGGGGTTTGGGAGGTTCGTGGTAGGCGAACTATAGTTACTATAAGTATAACCTATAACCCTACTTGCAGCTACCCATGCACCTCCAAGGAGGGTTAGAAAAAATAGTCAGATCATTTCCTTGCAGTCCTCTGATATGTTAGGGTTCAGGATTTAGGGACACTTGGTTATAATCGAATATGCTATCCTAATCACTACTGGAGGCCCGTGCATGAGCTGCTAGAAGAGGGTTGCCGTTCTTAGGAATATGTACCAATACATTCCATGAGGGTTCCTTATCATGGCTTTGGTACGGTTGATATATAAATCCTGCATTACCCATAACAAGGACAATATACCAGAAATTCCCATAGTTGAGAGCCCTTGAGGTAATGCAGGATTTATAGCATCAACCGTAGTTTGCTGAATATACTATACCCCAGAACCCCATCCTGATGATTGAGGCCCCTACAGTAGACAGACCCAGGCCTTCACTCCCCAACCCTATGAGTAATATAGGGGCCTTTATAATTAGAATAGGGTTTTGGGGCCCATTATACTATAACTATAATAAGGAAACCTCAAAATATTATGGGTGATAATTTCGGCTTCTATATTAGGCTGAAACATGTCCTCTAAGGTGTACAATTGTCACAACCCTGCAACCCAACGCTAGAAAAGCTGATTATATACAAGCTTAGCTTAAGTTGTTAGAGCAGAGTTTGGGGTACATTGCGGTATAGGTATAATACGAAACGCCAGTGATACTCTTGGTTCTGATTAGGCTTCTATGTTAACCTAAATCCGAAAACTCTACATCCTAATCACCGAACCCCAAAGCCAGAAGGACAGCAAGAACGATAGACATTTTAGTCAAGCTTTAACAAAGCTGAAACCGTAAGGCCAGAAAGACGGCAAGAAAGATAGATATTAGACATGTTGCGCAACCGTACACTAACTGTCATTATTACTACTAACTCTTACTAGTATTGCTGCTACTTCTACTTCTGCTGTAGTAGTACTACTGCTACTACTACTACTACTACTACTACTACTACTACTACTGCTACTACTGCTACTACTGCTACTACTACTAGTATGATTATCATTATGATCTAGAGTCAACTCGAGAGGTGCGCCATCTGGCGGCCTCAAGCGGGGCCTTTGCGGTCCTGACTGCCGGAGGGCCGGAGGCCCCAGTTTTAGGAACCCAAAAAGGACATAAGCATAGGATTCAGGGTTTAGGGTTTAGGGGTTTAGGTTTTGGGGTTCAGGGTTTTAGGGTTTCGGGTTTGGGGCTTAGGGCTATACTTGGAGGTTCATGTTAGGAACCCAAAAAGGACAGAGGCATTAGCATTTTATAGGCTTTTCCCTACCTTATCGGGCTTCATTATAAGGGGGCTTATATGGGATATCCCTATCCTAATTTTTGCTTATGTGCTTTTTTGAAAGCCGTAACGGCTTTGCCAGGGTTTAGGGTGTTTGGGTTTGGTGTGAGGTTTATAAGTCTTAAGTGAGAAAAGCTCAGGGTTTAGGGTGTGCGGACTTAGTTTTAGGGTCCCAGGGTATTTCTACCAGGGGGTTTAGCCTGTTTTAGAAAGGGTGTTGCTTGTTGCCATCGCGGTTTTTCATGAGAGCTTCAGCCAACTACGGTTGATGATATAGGTAGTTCTCTAAACTAGGGTCTCTTTTAGGGTCCTTATTATAAGGGTGAAGTACTATATTGGGGACCTAGAAAGGGACCCTAATTTAGAGAACTACCGATGTGAATCCTGCATTGCAACGACCCTGGACTATGGGAATCAGGGTATATTCCTGATTATGTGTGATGCAGGAGATATCTTCTTTACCAATACTTTCCAAAGGCTTTAAAGGGCCAACCTACTTGGAGGTTCATGGGTAGTTATAAGTGGAGTGAGTTCTTCCCTAATATAAGCTAAAACTATAGTTACCCTACTTATAGGCCTACTTATCACTACCCATGAACCTCCAAGCCCTGTTTAGGGGCACTTCATGGGGTCCCTCATCTCCGGTCCCGAGATATGGCTTGTTTTAAATTTCATCTTGGACTTGAAAGCCTTTAGGGTTTAGGGTTTAGGAGCTTAGGGTTAACACTGCATAGTAAGTGTCCCCATACTTCCACAACCGAAAGCCTCCAGAGACTTGTTCAGCCCCCGACCCCTCCATACAGTTCCGGAAGCTCCCTGAATCGGAGGCCTCAAACGGTGAGATGAAGCGTGGTGGGACTAAGGATCCCTTACATAAGGACGCTTTATTGGCATTGCCCCACCTAGCTTCATCCAACCGTTGGAGCCCTTTGGCACATGGAATCTTGATAGGCCTTGAGGACATTTACTTTCCAAAGGCTTCCAAGGGCCAACCTGCTTGGACGTTCATGGGTAGTTATAAGTGGAGTTTAAAGTCCCTTAGTATTGGTTATAACTATAGCTATGCTACTAGAACCTTACTTATAACTATGTATTGTATGTAATGTATGTAAGTAATGTCATGCAATGCAATGCAATGCAATGTAACGTAATGGAATGGAATGTAATGTAAGGTAATGTAAGTATGTAGGTATGTAAATATGTATGCATGTATGTATGTATGTATGTATGTATGTATGTATGTATGTATGTATGTATGTATATATGTATGTATGTATGTATGTATGTATGTATGCAATTAACGTATGCATGTATGCATGTGTGTATGTACTTAGTGTATGCATGCATATGCGTGTACATTCGGTCGTTTGTTGTTTACTTACTTATGAGTCTACGGTATGTATGTATATGTGTATGTAGAAGTATACATGAAAGTTTTACCATGCCCGGTGCATGTTCTATTCTGTCGTTTTGTATTTGACAGGTTGATGGTCCATCATGCTATACTGTATCACACTGTGTTTCGAGTGTTGTGTTGGTGTGCATTTTGATTATGTAATATATTCATCCTTCGTCGCATTGTCCTGTTCTGAAGTTTGTTACATTCTGTCGCATGCCACGTTGTTTGTGTTGTCGCTTGTTCGTTTCTATTCCCTAAACCCTAAACCCCTAAACCCCTAAACCCTAAACCCCAAAACCCTAAACCCCTAAACCTCAAACCCTAAAATCTAAACCCTAAACCCTAAAGCCCTAAACCCCTAAAACCTTAAACCCTAAACCCTAAACCCTCTCTGGTGCTTCGATAGTTCGAGCCCTAAACCCGACTACAGAGCCCCAGAGGCCTTCGATGCCCTGAACTTGAGACCCCTTACTTGGAGGTTCCATGGTTTAGGGTTTAGGGTTTAGGGTTTAGGGTTTAGGGACCCCCCTGATCCCAAACTAGAAGGTCTAATGTATGGGCCTGAATAATTACCTATATAATTTTGGGGGGAGACCCCTCTGATCCCAAATTAGAAGGTCCAATGTAGGGGCCTAAAGAATTGCCTATATGATTTTGGGGGGGGTCCTTATTATGCTTATGGCTTAAAGTACAATGGGCCCCAAAACCATATTCTAATTATTCAGCTCCCTATATTACTATCGGGGCCTTAATAATTAGAGAATAGGGTGCTGGGGCCCATTATACTCTAAGGATAATCAGGAACCCCCAAAGCAGTATTGCTAATTATTTAGGCCCCTACGTTTGGGTTTAGGGTTGGTTTGTCCTCATAACACCCTTTGAAGCACTTAAAATAACACCCCACATATGCCCTTGTACACCCTTGCCACATGCAACCCTCGATGTGAGATCGAGGCGTGTGGTGGCCTGGGGAAGTCCAGAAGCGGGTGGAATCCCGACAGGGATGTGTGGGTTTACTGCAGGATTCAGAATGGGAGCGCAGTCGGTGCAGTCACACATGGGGGCTTTGGGGTGCAGTGATCTTTGGATTTGTCGGCATGGGCCTGTGTGCGAGGAGCACACATGAGCCCAAGTGTTCGTATCCTGTACTTGGCTGGTTGAGTGAGGAATCCGCGCAAAGCGCAAGCCATACAACCTAAACGAAGAGAGCAGAAAGAACACGGAATCACAACATTCGGAACGGATACAATATGAAGACGGTATGCATTTGCAACAGATAGATACACATGAATGTGCATGCATACACTCATGCATCTATAGAAAATACATTCATGCATACATATATACATGCGTACGTACGTACATACGTACATACATACGTATATACATAC